GGCACTCACAGACTTTTGCTTATTGAGATGAAGTCCTAACATATTTTGTGACCTTGAAAGTGGGCCAAGGTCATTCATTTCAAACTTTGTAGGGCTCCATGCCAGCATGCTATGGGCCAAGAATTAGCCCCCTAAAGTATTTTTGTGACCTTGAAAGTTGTTCAAGGTCATTCATTTAAACAAACTTTAGCCCTTCATCCCAGCATGCCACAGGCACAATATCAGCAATCTGAGCCTTTTGGTTATTGAGAAGAAGTTGTTTAAAGATTTTAACATATTTGACCCCTGTGACCTTTAAAGTGGGTCAAGGTCATTCATTTGAACAAACTTGGTAGTCCTTCATCCCAGCATGTCACAGGCCCAATATCTACACTCTGAGCCTTTTGGTTAATGAGAAGAAGTTGTTTAAACATTTTAACATATTTGACCCCTGTGACCTTTAAAGTGGGTCAAGGTCATTCATTTGAACAAACTTGGTAGAGCTCCATGCCAGTATCCTCTGTGCCAAGTATTAGCCCCCTAGACCTTCTAGTATTTGAGAAGAAGTCGTTTGAATGAAAAGTTTACGGACGGCGCACGGCGGACAACGACGGACGAAGCATGATGACTATAGGTCATCGGACCCTTCGGGTCAGATGACCTAAAAAGAACGTACCTCCTCAAGAATATCCTCCTGCTGTGTTATTATGACATTAGTTTCTTTCTCTATTTTTGGTACTATTTTGGAAATAAAATTTCTATTTTCTAAATTAAAAAAATATTTAGTCGGCTTTTCACCTTCTTCTTGCCATCTTGCCCTAGATCTTACAATACTACCTCTAATCTTCTTAAGTCTAATATTTTCTAATTCTTTCTTCTTATTTTCTAATTCTTCAGTATCTACTTGCTCTTGTTCCTCCAACCTCTGTATCTCTTTATTAATAATATCTTCACTTTTATTTTGCTGTTTTTTCCTAAATGATGAATAAGAAATGCTCTTGCCCCTAATTTCCATTTACAATGTTTCAAGAAAAAGTTGATCATCAATTAAAAATTCAATTTCAGTATCTGGAATGTTAATTATATTGTTTCTGTTGTAAACAGGAAGACAATACTGGGTTTTTGTCTGTAAAATAACACTTTTAACCAAGTTAAGATATGCTTCGTCATAGAGCAAAGATGAATTAAGTTTCCATAACCCCTTTCCTCGTTTAAATTCACTAAATTTTAATTTAAGTAAAGGAAATGAGTGATCTGACCTGTATCCCGGTTCAATAGTTGCATAAGTGACACTCGATAGTAAATTGTCTGAAATAAGGAAAAAATCTAATCTAGCCTGTTTCAGTGGGTTCTTCCTCCTCCATGTATATCTTCTCTCTGAATGCAATTCCCTATAGATATCAACTAAGGAGTGACTTTCAATAATTTCCAAAACTTTCTCCCTTGCTCTCTTATTATTTATCGTCTTGTAGCTACTGTCATAATCTAGGTCAGGATCTATAACTAAATTAAAGTCACCACATATAATGAACTTATCATTACCAAATTCCTCAATGGTATCAGCTAAAATATCATAAAAGATAGGCGAATCGATATTTGGGCCATATAAAGTAATTAATGTAGTCTTTGTACCCTCCAATACAATATCAAGTGCCAAGAAATTCCCAGAGCTATCTTTCTTTTCTTTATTAACCTTAAATTCAAAAATATTATTAATAAAAAGAGCTACCCCTCTTGAATTTGATCTAAAGGAATTAAAATAACAATCAAACCCCCATTCATTTCTAATAAAATTTTTATTTTCTTCCGTAAAGTGGGTGTCTTGCAGACAGTAAATACAATAATTCTTAGCTTTTAAGTACGAGAAGAGGTCTTTCCTTTTAATTCTATCCCCTAGGCCTTGACAATTCGCAGACAAAATGGATACATCCCCAATCATGTTACGTTTACAGCATTTTGAAATACATTTTCTAGCCCAGCCAAAGAGTACAGAAGTAAAGATGGGGAGAAGAGAAAAGATGAGAAATAAAAAAACATACCATAAAAAGGTCTACAGGTGCAACTGTCCACTTACGCACTCACATTTCATGCAAAAATCTGTACCGTACATGCAGGCGAACAAAAATATTGTATACACCGGAAGTAGTATACTATACTCTAAACAACGAAAAACGGCGTTTATTATTTTCCGGATCTATAATAATAGTTAAAATAAAATGCGGAAACTTCCAAACGCACAGATACTAGCAACTTCAATAATTTCAACACAACAGATTAACTTACTGAATAAAACACACACATGACTTACCGGTCTAAAGAACACACACAAACACAAGCCAGAGTAAGAAAAAAAATATCACCAAGGATTGATCGATAAAACCAGAGAAAGTCCCTCTCTGGTGGTACTGAGTCGTACCTAAATCCACCATCGATCACATCGCTTGCTATTCACAAGATATTAACATTTCAGTCGAAAAGTTCCGTCCTGAAATTGTTGTCCTCCGCCAAGTATTGATCTGTTAATTCTGTGTCATAACGCAATCTACGTTTCTTGTCATTTGACAAAACTACAAAAAGTTTTCCGTCCACACTATAGGTATGTTTGACACTCTTAAGTCTGTAAGCTTCTTTCAATATCTCTTGGTTTCTTCTTGTCAGATCTTCAAACACCAGTTGTCTCTTCCCCTTTAGCTTCCGACGGTTTTTGAGAATCTCAGTCTTTTTCCTCCTGTATGTTAACTTACAGATTATGGTTCGCGGCTTCTCTCTGTTGTATCGTCCCAACCTATGGGCAATGTCTATGTCCTGCTGCTCTATGTCGATTCCGAGGGAGTTCCGCACAAAAGTCACAATTTTTCCAACACATTCGTCCACCGATTCTCGTTCATTAGTATCCTCCAGTCCAACAATACGGATGGATTTTTTTCTGCCGTGCTGTTCTAAGTCGTTCAACTTATAGTCAAGAGAGGCGTTGAATTTCTCGGACTCTCTCACATGGTCCTCCAGCTTCTCCACCCTGTCTCGTAGAACATCGTTTTCCTTTTCAAGTTCGAAAATTCGTCCTTCTAACTGATCCAACAACACACGGTTCTCCTCCCTAATATCTTCTCTTAATCTTTCCAACTTTCTGTCCATTATCTTATCCATATCAGATTTGGTCACCAGTGCTGATATCATGTGAAAAAGTTCCTCTACCCTGTCTTTCTCTACTGGTTCGTTAACAATATCCAGGGGTCGGCCTTTACTTCCCGTCCTCCCGCTTCCCACACTGGTCCTCGATCCCGGCATGGTTATCAAATCTAAATATCTTATTCCTAAATCGTGCAGGTAAGAATCGTGCAGGTAAGGTACAGTACTAATATATACACACAATACTAGTGCGCGCGAACAGTCGTCACTCCCAGTTGTCAGTCCATTGTTCTATATGTCTTTTCCTAAAACATCTTTTTCCAAAGACTTTCACAGAAAAGGTAATAAAAATTGGCTTCACCGATACTTCACACTACTGCATGCCAAAAATGAACATCTCCTGTTTTTGGAAATATAGCCAAATTAGACGAAATCACAGAGCCCAAACGCACTCCGACTGACCAGGTCCAGGCGACCTTGACCTTCCCCAAACATAATACTTATAGAAGTTTCAAAGAGAAACATATCCAAATTTCTTAAAAATAAGTTTAGACTTCCATGTAATAATAAGTATATGCAAATCGAAAGTGGAAGTGTCTTCAGATGTAGGCATGGTCTGAACTTAAAAACGAAGTTTTGTATGATTCAGTTATTCAGCATTTGCGTGTATGTATCCCAGTCGGAATTTACGTTAATTTTATAGATATGGGTTACTCTTGTGTGTTTTTAGTACAATATTCTGACATCGTATAAATAACATGGGTATCCCCTTACACGCAGAAACCTAGTTTATCACGTCACATAATGTGCAATACCATGTCAACACAAGGTCAAGGTGACAATTAAATGTTAGGTAAGTATTTAAATTTTATATAATAGTGTAAGTTTACAAGATAACATCGTTATCTGTAAGTGTGATTATAAAAAGAAGATACGTGTACTTCAGATATTTGTGATAGATTTTGTACGTCACGTGGACGTAAACTCTCGTCAACTTCTGACTAGTTAACAAATTGTCTTATCACTCTTAAACATCAATTTATCTAAAGGTCTTATTATGTATTGCTACAGGAAATTATAAGTGGAGGTAACGACAATGTAGTTAAGTATATCAACGTACTGAATATGTAAGCCAGTGCTCATCCATGTGTTTTCTGTAGTTATTTTCATCATTCGTAAAATTAGACTTAGGAAATATCAGACTGAAAACCGACTTCGGATGTTCTTTCTCTTATGTATCTGACGTCAAAATTGATGATAAAATATTCGTGTTGTACAACATAGTGAATAGTGATGAAAACCTTCCAATACTTTCACATGTGCCCTCAATGTCGAAAAAATAGGTTCAGCCGGGATTAATAACAATACAAACGTGAAATCGAAAGTTAAACGGGCACATGTGTGTAGATATGTAGGATGAGTAGAAATGCTGGTTGTTTGAACTTTCAACATTTGAAAATGCAGATACAAACAGGGACAAAGAAGACAACATACTTAAAAATACGAATAATATGCAATACACACACATGTGACCTATTACATAATCTTACTTATTTAGATTCTTCCATACTTACTACAAATTATATTTAGATACAAACATTTAGTTGATTAAGACTGTCTAAAATTAGAGTAGAAACACTTCCATTGGGTGGTAGAGCCAGTCGTGATAATATAATTTAATATAATATTAAAAATAATATAGATTAAAACACGAAGATAAGTTTTCATAACTTTAACATGTGCTATATGAGAATATTCACTCAATAACTAATGGATGATACACATCAAACTTCAGATTTTGCATATTTCATCGTCAAAGTTTGGATAGATTCTTATAATAAATTGAGGCGAGCCAATGTATTTCGTATACATTGGTTCGTAACAGGAATTGAACTAAATTTCTACAGGATAACTTGAATTGCTGCATTTACAGTTTTCATTCTTAGATGCTAATAGTAAACGTTACATTTTGGATGACGTTTTGGGTGGTAACAGTTATATAACAGAACTGAGGTAACATTTTTAAGACATTAGAAGTGAGTACACATTGATTTACAATATGTAATGTAAAAAAAACTATTCTGCATAAACTGGTAAAGAAGACAACGTTAGAAGAGTCTTTTTTCAAGTTAACTCATGTATATATAGTTCCTTATGTAGCATGTACATGTAGGTACTGAAAGTAAATATAAAACACACTCAGATCTATATGTACCTCAGTAGCTCTAAACAATGTAAGATATTTGCTGACTACAGTAATGTAGAGTATTGGATTTTATATATACACATCAATGAATTTGTTATTCAGATTTTTTTAAAACTTGATTTCGGTTAATTTCTGCAAATCAAGAACACGTTTGCTACAAAATGTAACCCTACATTATATGTAGATTAAGTGTATTGATATGTGATATAATTGTATACTAATCATATCAGGTGTCTGATATGATTTTTTAAGAAACAAGGCTTTAGTATACACTAATGATATAGCTTTAGAGAGAGCTTCGTTGATGCATAGTTTGTTCACTTGTGTGTTTGAACTTATAGATCCGGCTTAGGTGAACTATCTGAAGGCACTGGATCACCAATAGCATCATCGAAAGTGGTGGTGTCTTAAAGTACATAATATTCTTTAAAAAATGATGGACCTGCGGGGATGTAGGTCTATTTTTCTATATTGCCTATAAACAGCAAATATGAATATGACCATGACTATGAATTTAACTGAGAGTCGTGTGGCTCGAGACCAAATATAGATAAAAACCACGAATATGATGACCATTAATATCCTCACCACTGTGTTAACAAGGGTTTGACTAAATGTGAGATTATGTTTCAAAACCATAATATCAATTATCAGTTCATAATTGACTGGTAAATATTAACAGTGTGTTAAACCTTATTCGCTTTGCAATTTTAATGGTACTAACAATAAGTTTTGTCCATATTAAATGTTGTTAAAACATTTTGGTGGATCTAAAGCTATGATGTGGGGGTCTACTTTCAAAATCGGCTATAAATAAATACAATGAATATTGATATTCGTCTAGCTTTCCGATAGATATAAGTTATCCTGACCATTGTGATAACAAGAATTCGTCTATACATGTGCATGGATACCTATATACATAAACATGTCTACTGATAACTGTGTGTAAACGTACTATCAGCTCATATTTGACTAGTATATGTTAACGATTTGTAATATTTTTTTCTCTCTAATTTTTTTATTTCCATTAGCAATTCATACAGTACAATGTATTACAGATATTTGTATTTCCCACTCACAACACTTGTCTTTATCATAATACCTATTACACATAATATTTCAGTACCTGGTACAGAAATATGATTTATATATATATATATATATTTTCATATATCATTACTTCAGGGCACATGTGTAAAAACACATTTAATTTGCTCTGAAACAGAATCAGCACCTAGGATATAACATAGTTGACAAACATTTATAACTGTATTTTTAATGCATGTAACAACTGATAGAATCTGAAATCTTCTCTATTTGTCCTTATTATCATATCTATTCTGTCTCTCAACTCATTTCTTATCTTACCAATTAGAGATAGTGGATTTTGTATTTCATTTTCAAATTTCTTTGAATTTCTGGCCTTCCAGATTAACCACTTAGAATGAAAAAATTACAATGTTACAGAGTTTGTTGATGTTCTCTGGATATTCTGATATACCAAAAATCCTTTCTTTATCAGTTAAAACTATATACTGATAATCTACTGAAACATTAAAGAGACACTCATTCAATAACCTTTCAATTTGTAGCCATACCTCTTCACTCAATCTGCACTCACTAAAAAGATGTTGTTGTGTTTCTTGTTCTTCCTTACAAAAATTACAAAGACCATTTGATTTCTTCATTTCTTTCAATTTGTGTTCAGTGGTTATAATTCTGTGTATACTTCTCCACTGAAAATCTTTTACTTTTTTTTCTAGTCTACTGCTGTTTAATGAATGCCAAACTGCTTTCCACTCTAGATTGTAGTCTGTATCCCATTTCTGAATAGATTTTATCTGATTTGCTGTTTGAAACAATACATTTTTAATAGCTTTATTAAATAGTTTATTTAGTGCCAGCAAATTTTTACCATAAATGAAATATAAATCTTCTGTAATTTTGAATTTAACTCTATTGTTTCCATTGTTATTTTGTAGCATATTTTTCCATTCCAAAGAGAAGGCTTTTCTTATAGTTGTATACTCTGATATCCAATTATTCTTTAATCTTAATTTTTTAAGTAATTCTCCTGATGTAATAAAGTCATGCTGTTCCGTATCCCAAATATCTTGAACCTTGGTAATCCCACTACTTGCCCACCCTTTATAAAATATAGGACTGTTTTTAAATAGTAGATTGTGGTTTCCAAATAAGTTCTGGTTGAGTACATCATCTGAAGTGGAAATAGAAGTGGTTCTCAGCAACTTTTGCCAATAGAACAGCCCTTCTAAATATATTTCTGAGATTTTGCTAATTTCTAAATTCTTAATGTTACTACATCTGCATAAAAAATAATTTGCATGATATACTGCATCATATTTTTGCAACATATTTTTCTCAATTATGTTCCAAGATTGGATATCACAGTGAATAAGACGGTATATTAATTTAATTCTGTTTATTGCAATAATGACATCTAGGTCTACCATGTTCAAGCCTCCTTCTTTCTTTTCTAGATAAACAGCTTCTTTTGAAACTTTGTTTATTTTACTTCCCCACAGAAATTCATAGATTAATATATTTATTCTACGCTTATATTCATTTGGTATTGTGTTTTGTGCTAATTCATATGTCAACTGTGAACACAACAGTGACTTAATTATAAGGGTTTTTCCTTCTAGTGTCAAATGTCTTGGTCTCCATGTTTTAATTATGCTTTCTATTTTTTTTATTTTATTTTCCCATACCCGTTTTTTATCTATATTGTACCCCATATAAATTCCTAGAACTTTAATGTTGTCTGTCACCCATGATATCTCCATGTAGTTTGGAGGTCGTTGCTTCCAACTACCAATATACATACCTTTTGTTTTCTTCTTATTGATACGTGCGCCTGAAGCTTTCTCGTAGCATTCAAGTACTTTAAAAAGATATTTAATGCAATTTTCTTTACTTAAAAATAGTTGAGAGTCGTCCGCGAACATGCTAATTTTAGTTTGTAACTTTACATCATTGACTATTGGTAGATCGATTCCAGTTATATTATTATCTTTCCTTATTGAACATGCCATTGCCTCTGCCTGAATAATATATAATATTGGTGCTAAAGGGCACCCTTGTTTTACTGAACGCGATATTTTGAAGAATTTAGACAAGTGTCCATTTGTTAGAATACAACTTTTTGAAAATTTATAGGTCATATTTATATATTCTCTCATTGATTTTCCAAAATTGAACTTCTCTAGACATTTTTCTAACCAACCCCATTCCACTCTATCAAACGCTTTTTGTTGATCTAAGAAGATAATAATACCTCCCTTCTGCTCCATATCTGTGTAATCGACAATATCAGTTAATAATCGTATTGATTCTTCTATATTCCTGCCTTTAATAAACCCTCTCTGATCGCTATGTATAATATTTTGTAGTAATGGTTTTATTCTTTCTGCTATTAACTTGGCTATAATCTTATAATCAGTGTTAAGAAGGGTGATCGGTCGCCAGTTTGATATATCTTCCCTCTCCCCTTGCTTATACATTAATCTAATTATTCCTCTGTACTGAGAAGAAGACAAAACTTTAGAATTAAAAATTTCCACTATTACTTCAGTCAGTTGCTTTTTGATCATATGCCAAAAGAGTTGATAGAATTCAGAAATTATCCCATCACTCCCCGGTGCCTTACTTTTTTTCAGAGTTTTAATGACTTTTAAAATTTCTTCTTCAGTAGGAATTTTATCACAATCTAGTTTTTCTGCTTCTGTTAATCTTGCATCTACATTCATTAAAAGCTTCTCTGCTTCCTGTTCATTCCATCCCTCTGAAGTAAACAGTTTCTGATAAAATTTAACTTGTTCCTCCAGAATTTTTTCTATATCTGAACTGTAGAGACCGTTTTCACATTTCACTGTAGTCCATTGTTTATTTTGAGCCCTAGATTTTTCTAAATTAAAAAAGTAATTAGTAGATCTTTCACCTTCCTCATACCATTGCACTCTTGATCGAACTCTAGCTGCTTCTGCGAGACTATTGTAATAAGATTGAATTTCTGCTGAGATATTAAACAATTCTGTTTCATCAAACTCCTTATCTGTGTCTTTTCTTCTGTGTATATCTACTAATTTTGATTCTAACTTTTTTATATGATTTTTGGGTTTATTTATGATATGACTGCTCATTATACTTAATTCCTGTACTTTGATTTTAGTTAATTCCCACCATTGAATTTTACTCTCATACTCATTTATATTATCTTTCCATTTTTCCCAAAAGTTCTTAAACAAATCTTTGAATATTTCAGATTTAATTATTTATGAATTCATTTTCCAATATCCTTTTCCTATTTCTACTTCACTGAAGTTAAAAATTATTACCGGTGAGCCATAATGGTCATTCTCAGTAAAGGGACATAACTCTATATTAGAATATGTTACTAAATAATCTATTGATTTACTAGTTAAAAAATAATCAATTCTGGATTGTTTCCTGCCTCTTTTGAAAGTGTATGATTTAATTCCTGGGTGCCTACGTCTCCAAATATCTTCAACATCTATAGATTTGATCAGCTCTTTCAATTCATCCTGACCTGTCTCAGTCATTGAGGTGCAATTTTTCCTGTCTGATTTTATATTTTGTATGCAATTAAAATCCCCACCTACTATATGTTTGGTATTACTGAAAGGTACATCACTAAGTTTTTCACTCATATTTTTGAAAAAGTCTATTTTATCCTGTTCTTCATTGGGTGCGTACACATTTGTCAACCAGAAAACTTCAGTTTCAATTTTAATCTTTAGACAAATAAATCTTCCATTCACATCTGTAAGGCTTTCCATAGTCTTAATATTTAACCCTTTCCTTATGAAAATAGCAACTCCCCATGATGATGAATTGCCATTTGCCCAATAGGTTTTTCCATTCCACTCTTTGTCCCACTTAAATTGTACTTTATTATCCTCACAGTGTGTTTCTTGTAAAAAAGCAATATCCATTTTTTGGGTTGTTAACCAGAAAAAAATATTTCTCTGTTTTGCATTGTTATTCAACCCATTTACATTCATAGAAATGATTTTTAGATACATTGATGAGAATTTTTTTTTTTTTTTTTAGGAACTATTTACATAAGTAGATAACACCCTAAATCAGTCACATCAGACTAATATAAAAACTATATGAGAGTTTGTAGGATACTTCCCTCTTATGAGAATTCATCATCTACTCTTCCCTGTTTTGAGACTCCACTTTGGGGACTCATGGATGTTGCACTAATGCTCCTCTTTTTGGTCTGTTTCACAGTCTGTACATGGTCGAGAATCATCCTGGTCAGGACACTCGCCCCATGGGGGCTGATGTGAATGCCAGTAGGGTCATTTTGGTCATAACAGGCTCTAACAATTGTACCTTTGTTGGTAAAGCCTTTTTCAAGTTCCATATAGTAGTGGTTTGTTCGTTTACACAGAGTTTTCACAAAACTATTTACACTGGTAATCACATGATTTATTTTGTCACTCTGAACACTTTTCCCTCGCTTAGGCAGGATGCTACACAGTGTAATCCTTGACCTTGGAAAATGAAATCTTATTTTCTCCACTGCTGTAGTAAAATTAATGGTGATATTGTCAATGCTATTGCTTGAATTCTTGGTAACATCATTGGTTCCAAGATGGACCACCACATCCTCCACCACTGTACTGTTAATAGACGGGTCCTGTTCACAAAGTTGTAGAAGTTCTTCTACTTTGCCAACTGTAGCCCCTGATTTGGAGATGTAATAGGGTTAAGTTTTATGTAATTTTGGCCGCTGTTGTCTAGCGTCGCGTCGTTGGGATTTTCGCGCCGTCTGTGATCGTTATAAATGTATGTATATATGTTGCGTCTATATGTCCAGTTTGCCCGTGTGACGTAGTGTGTCTATATATGTCCAGTTATTGTCTCGTTTTCGTTCTTTGGTCTTTGTCTGTATTTGGCGGGTTTTTAGTGGACAAAGGGGACATTGACTACTACAGACGATTGAAACCTCCGTCCGGCTTACGAACACATTTGTCCCGTAAATTTAATCATCTAGATCTACGATCCAATGATATCAGTCATTTGCCTACGATCGAGCCCTATGTTACTTTAGGACCCTTAACCCATTGTTGGGGGTCTTTAGGGTTTTACCTAATAAATGGCTGGAACCGGATATGGTGTTCGCCCTCATTATTCTTGAAATAACCACCAAATTTACAGTGGCGCCCATGTAGGGACTCGACAGTAAGATGAAGGGATGAGACAGCCTACCGTGATGCAGAATTTCTGATCCGGACAGTTCCATTCTTTTACTTCTGATTGTACTACGCACCATAAGTGTTCCGGTTTACCCTACTTCCGGTTTCCAACACGTGAGTGACAAAGTGACAACGTTGGTATTTCGGTGAAGTAAAGACAGTAATGTTTTACAGTATTAATACCCAGTGGTTGTGTCGTATGTTCAGGTAACTGTTTCTCTGCTTCGCTATGATTATTATGCCTTGATTGAACTTTACCTGTGTTTGATACGGTCCGGTACACCCGATAACGATAGACTGACAGATTTCACCTGTTCACTATCATTACAGTGATCAGATTTGTCTTCGCATATGGACTTCTGTGTTCCTTATGTATTCCCGATTCCAGAAGCTGATACATGTTGTGACATTATTTCTACCTGCTTTTGAGGATTTCACTCAACATGCTGAACTGTTTAATTTATTTACTTGGAATGCTCCTGTTGTGAAGGAAACCATAGGCATTATTTTCTTCAGATAGACTGAAATTAAACTTTACTGATTTTTATTATTTTGCTACTTCCGGTTTTGGATTCTTTCTTCCGGAACTTTATTGACATTGGTTATCAGACTGTATTGAGTAAGATTATTGTATTTTCTTGTATTTAATAATCTGATATTGAAATTTCATAGTAATTATTGGATTTATTTATTTATTTATTGCATTGCATTGTATGATTTAATGTGAATGTGTGTATTTTGCTGAATTTAGTGTTTTGGTACTTATTTATTTCTTTCATTGCTAGAATTTATTTATTTATTTGTTTAGTTATTTATTTTCCACCCTGGTTTTGGTATTTATTTTGACATGGAGGTTTTTGACATGGTTTTTGACATTTACTGACTGATGAATGTTTATTTACCTTGTGCTCAAAGTGTTTTTCATGTTTTGGTGTCCTTATTTGTTTTGTCATTCTGCCGTATACTTTATAGCCTTACCGTATCATTTCGCGTTGTTGCGTTTAAATTTCGCTGATTTTCGTGCATAGTTTTCACTTGAGCCTGCTGTACTGTATTGCATTCCATTCATACGCTTGTTTTGTGTTCAATTCTTTTCAATTTGGTACTGTTTTGTATACACATGTATTTTCATTCCAGATTTGGACTGTTTCACCATTAATTTGCAGGGGTTTGGACTTCACATTTATATTTCAGGTGTTGATCTATAGATATTTGAACTGTATCTTGTACTTTACTTGTTTGTTTTCAGGAACTCTGGTCTTCTTTTTCTTTGTACTATTTCTTTAATTTTGTGCCTAAGTATTCTTTATACATGTACTTCTGTTACTTTGGACTTTTGATTTTCTGCTTGACACCATTTATAACCATGGATAGTGACCAGTTAGAGAAGATAAAAGATGTGTTTGCAGAGATGGGAGTTACTCCGAAATGTGATTCTGCTGAAGAGTTCAAGAACTGGATGTTAGACTACATGTCATCAACAGGAGCCATCTCAAAGTCAGGGAAGGATGTTAAACCAAAGGAACCTATTGCTGGAGGACCATCCAAACAGCATGTGTTTACTCAGCCTCCACGCCTACCATTCTTTAGTGGTGATCCTACATCTAAGGGAGAAGTTCCTTATGAGCTCTGGAAATATGATGCTGACTGTCTACTGCGAGATGAGACCATCCCCAAGGAAACAGCTTTACGTGTCATCAGAAGTTCTTTGAGGGGAAATGCAGGGATGATTGCTATGAGACTTGGCCCCAAAGCATCAGTTGGTGATTTACTTGCCCATCTGGAAACCAACTACGGTGTTGTTGATGATCACGAGGCTCTTCTTGGGAAATTTTTCAGCGCACACCAACAGGAAGGAGAGGATGTTGCCTCCTGGGGTTGCAGACTGGAAGATCTTTTGATGAAGGTGTCAAGATGCGAGATGTTGTCTCAATCAAAGAGGAATGATATGCTTCATAGTCGCATATGGAAAGGACTCTTACCCAAGTTGAAGGAAAGATCAGCAACAAAGTATGAGCTTACTAAAGACTACAACGAGCTGAAAGTGGAACTTAGGAAATTGGAATCTGAAATGAAGATGGAAGGTACAGGGGCCAGTGCCAAGTCAGCCACTACAAAGATGATAGATGCCAGTGTTACAGAAGATAGTCGACTGGATAAGTTAGAAGGAAAGATTAAGCAGCTTTCTGCGGATGTCAAGTCATGGAAATCGAGTGCACATCAACAGAAGAAGCCTCATAAGTCACAGGAATACCAACAGTATCAACAGCCTACTAAGAAGAGAGAACACAAGGAGCGTGGTGATACCTTGAACAGGAGTGATACTGATGATTCCTCCAATGAACCTCAGTGCTGGCGTTGTGGACAGTATGGACACATACAGCTAGGATGCAAGGTCAGACTTGATCATCAACGTAGAGGTCAGTTCAACAACCGAGGTCGTCATTTAAACGGAAAAGGACCTGTGGGAAGGGGACGGCCATAGGTTTCATATTACAGTCTCCTACAGATACAGAAGATCAAGTTCAACTTGTTGGTTCTTCAAACGAAGTGGACATTCTTATAGCCGGACATAAGGTCACTTCATTACTGGACACTGGTTCTACTGTATCAACAGTTGGAGAATCATTTTATAATATGCATTTGTCACACTTGCCTATACAACCATTGGACTGTATTTTAAATGTTGAATGTGCAGGTGGTAATCCACTACCCTATCATGGATTTATTGAAGTTAGTGTTGAGTTGCCAGGACTATCAGGTACTAATGTGCAGGACTGTATTCTTTTAGTTGTTCCTGACAGTGATTACAACAGCAAAGTACCAGTTTTGTTAGGCACAAATGTTTTGACTGTGCTTATGGACAAGTGTCGTGAACATAACGGAGCAAGATTTCTACAGAGTGCAGATTTGTTTACGCCTTGGTTTTTGGCTTTCAGATGTCTTTCTCTAAGGGAAAAGGAACTCAATCGGAGGAATTTTTGCCTTGGTGTCCTGAGATGTGCCGAGGATAAGGTCATCAATATTAAGCCTAATACGCAGGTGAAGGTGAAGACTTACTCCGATAGAGAATTACCTTACCATCCCACTTGTGCGATAATCCAGCCAGCCACAGACTGTGTTACCTCAGAAGGTTTGGATATTACTCCTGGATTGATCTCCTACCATTACCAAGGAAATAGGAATGTGGAGGTGGAGCTTGCTAACACTACCAGTTGGTGTTTATCTGTGTCGCCAAAGGCTTTACTGTGTGAGATTACACCAGTTACCATTCTGGATAAGGATGACCAGACAGATGAAGTAGAGGAGATAGAAAAGTTGATGGAGAAGATTGAGATTGATGAAGATTTTCTCTCAGCTACAGAAATTGAGGAGGGGAGACAACTCATCATGTCCTTTAAGGATATCTTCTCCAAGAATGATAAGGATATTGGATTTTCCAATGCAGTTAGGCACAGGATAGACATGCATGATTCAACGCCTATCAAGCAACGACACAGAAGGATACCCCCATCAATGTACGAGGAAGTAAAGAACCATCTCCATACTCTTCTGGACATAGGGATCATCCGTCCGTCACACAGCCCGTGGTCTTCGCCAGTTGTTCTAGCCAAGAAAAAGAACGGAGAACTACGTATGTGTGTTGACTTCAGAGAAATTAACAAGAGGACGATACGTGATTCTTATGCTTTGCCCAGAATTGAGGATATTCTTGAGTGTTTGTCTGGAGCAAGATACTTCACAGTCCTGGATATGAAGTCAGGCTACCATCAGGTTGAGGTTGATGACTGTCATAAGGAACGTACAGCTTTTACAGTTGGGCCCCTTGGTTTTTATGAATATACCAGGATGCCATTTGGCCTGTCGAACGCTCCCGCAACATACCAGCGGTTAATGGAGGAATGCCTAGGGGACCTTCATCTCAACATCTGCCTGATTTACTTGGACGATCTCATTATCTTTTCAAACACTTTTGAGGAACATATTCGCCGATTGGAAAAGGTACTTCAGAGATTAAGAAAGTGCGGTTTGAAGTTGTCTCCGAAGAAATGTAAGTTTTTCCAAAGGAGAGCAGTGTACCTTGGACATATGATTTCTGAGGAGGGAATTTCACCAGATCCAAGCAAGATCGAGAAGGTACTGAACTGGCCAGAGCCCACTACTCCAGAGGAAGTCCGTGCCTTTTTGGGCTTTGCAGGGTATTATCGGAAGTTCCTCAAGGACTTCGCTAAGATTGCTAAACCCTTGAACGAGCTGTTACCTGCTTGTGCCAAGATTGGAGGAAAGAAGAACAAGACAAAGAAGAACTCGGATTCCGACTGGAAATGGGGTCAAGCTGAGATGCAAGCCTTTCAGAAGCTTAAGGACTGTTTGTCAACACCACCAGTACTTGGATATGCTCAGCCAAACCAGCCATTTGAACTCCATACTGATGCATGTGGACAGGGATTAGGAGCCGTCTTATATCAACATCAGGGTGACAGTCTCCGCGCAATCAGCTTCGCAAGTAGAGGACTCTCCAAATCAGAACGGAACTACCCCGCCCACAAATTAGAGTTCCTTGCGCTTAAATGGGCTGTTACTGAGAAATTTAACGATTATCTCTATGGACAACGATTTACGGTTTTCACGGACAACAACCCTTTAACATATGTCTTGACGTCAGCGAAGTTGGATGCAACTGGACACAGATGGGTTTCTGCGTTAGCTGCTTTTGATTTCGACATTCGCTATCGGCCAGGAAAAAGCAATGCTGATGCAGATGCACTTTCCAGGCTTCCGATGACCATGGATTCTGTCCGTGCAGTTAGCCAGTCCATCACTTCTTCGCTGTCTTTTGTGGAAAGTCTTTGTTCACCTGCGCAAGTTGCTGATGCCCTTGATGATCCTTGCGTTGGTGATTTAGAGAAGATGACATCAAAGGATTGGAGAAGAGTCCAACGACAAGATGTGTTGTTGCGTCCATGGATGCAGTTAGTATCCAAGTACAGGAAACCGAATCGTCGAGATTTTCCTGCGACTAAAGAGAATTCCCAGATGTTCAAGATTGCTGACAGCTTGACGATGCGTCGTGGCGTTCTGTTTAAGGAGGTTAATAGAGATGGTGTATACCACTACCAGCTAGTTTTACCCTCGGCCTACATCAAGAAAGCCTTGAAAGGACTCCATGATGACATAGGACATCCTGGGAGGGACAGGGTATTATCTCTACTACGTGACAGATTCTACTGGCCCAACATGACGAAGGATGTAGAGGAGTGGGTCAACGAGTGTCCACGCTGTATCCGAGCTAAGACTTCGAGGAATGAGCGAGCACCCTTGGTTGAGATACACACTTCTCATCCGCTTGAGTTAGTGTGCATGGATTTTCTGTCTCTGGAACCATGTAAAGGAGGATTTGCCAACGTCCTTGTTGTCACAGACCATTTTACAAAGTACGCGCAGGCATTTCCAACTCGAGACCAAACTGCGAAGACAACAGCTGCTACCCTTTACAACAATTTCATCATTCACTATGGTATTCCAAGACACCTACATTCTGATCAAGGCCCAAACTTTGAAAGTGAAGTTATATCGGAACTTTGTGATCTTCTCGGGATGGAGAAATCACATACTACCCCCTACCATCCCATGGGAAATGGAATTACTGAGCGGTTTAATCGTACCCTCATCTCTATGCTTCGCACTCTGAAACCAGAAGAAAAGAAGGATTGGAAGGCATATATCCCATCTTTAGTCCACGCCTACAATTGCACCCGTCATGAGTCTACCTTGTACAGCTGGCAGTTCGGAGTCAGATGATGAAGAAGGCGATACGGCAGTACGGGATCCGGATGACGATCCAGGCTCTCCTGTGTCTGCCACTGGTCCGCCTGGTGACGACCAGTTCTCTACTGAGGAGGGAGGACCAGCAGATGATGCCAATAAAGACGTAAAACAAGATGATGTTCCGAAGTCAGACTCAGTAGTGTCATCTACTGGTGAACTTGGGCAGGATACAGTTGTCATCCCAACTGATGATGTCTTGGACCAAGACGAATCTCATACGAACGAGGAACATGTGTCAGAGCGTCCGGTGCCTCTTCCCCGAAGATCTACACGAATTTCCAGACCGCCACAATGGCAAACTTCGGGTGAATTTGTAATGGGAGGAGCAAAGAGTTCGCAAGTAAATGTTGCTTCGTGGAACCTTAAGGCAAAGCTTTTGGAAAACTTGGCAAAGGAAGGTGTGTTTTCCAGAATTAATCCAGATGCTACCACTGCTTTAATCAGAATCATTTGTGATATATAAGCCTTAAACGTCTTTTCTTATTTTGATATTTATGTTTACCTTTGACAGTTTGTAATTCATTTTATCAGTGATTGCGACATTTTCACTTTATGTTTGTCGTGAATTATATTTGCTTTTAATCTATTTCAGAATTGAATATTTAGTGATGTTAATATGTAGTATGTGAGCTATTCTCTTTGATAAGTATATCAACAAATGTTGACATGGTGTGAATTATCCTCGTATAATTTAGGTGACGAGGGCGTCCCTTTTCCTTAGCGGGGGGAGGATGTAATAGGGTTAAGTTTTATGTAATTTTGGCCGCTGTTGTCTAGCGTCGCGTCGTTGGGATTTTCGCGCCGTCTGTGATCGTTATAAATGTATGTATATATGTTGCGTCTATATGTCCAGTTTGCCCGTGTGACGTAGTGTGTCTATATATGTCCAGTTATTGTCTCGTTTTCGTTCTTTGGTCTTTGTCTGTATTTGGCGGGTTTTTAGTGGACAAAGGGGACATTGACTACTACAGACGATTGAAACCTCCGTCCGGCTTACGAACACATTTGTCCCGTAAATTTAATCATCTAGATCTCCGATCCAATGATATCAGTCATTTGCCTACGATCGAGCCCTATGTTACTTTAGGACCCTTAACCCATTGTTGGGGGTCTTTAGGGTTTTACCTAATAAATGGCTGGAACCGGATATGGTGTTCGCCCTCATTATTCTTGAAATAACCACCAAATTTACAGATACAATTTTCATGTTTGGATCTGATATATCCAACCGATTACAGTTGGAGGCACCAAGTATCACAGTTGTAATTCCTAGTATACTTCGAGTTTGTGACGACTCCTGTTGCAGAGTATCTATAGGTGTGAGGTCTACGTTCCTGATAGCGTTACTTGTTTCATGATAGTCACTGTTGTCAAAAGATCTCACCTTTGTGCTATTTTCCTCAGACTGCAGTTCATTGTGGCCAGGTGCTAGCTGACCTTTGTTTCTCAGGTCTGGCTCTGGGCAATCCCTTACTAGGTGAGAAGTGCTCTTACACCTGTGACACTGCCTTGGTATTGTTGGTTTATTGGGGCACCGAAAAAAGGGGTGATCTGTCCCCGAACAAAAACGACACACTGTCCTGTTATTATCCGCATATATCCTCACTGTATAATTCCCAAATTTTGTTTCATTTGGGATCACTGTTTTAGCATTAAGTAGTTGAATGTACCTAACTCCAGTTTCAATATCAGAGTCTTTGAGTGTTCCCCTCTTTAGACTCCCGGGTACTACCTCTCCAAACTGTAACATTAGTGTGTTAATAAATTGGTCACTTAATTCATATGGTGCGTCTTTGATTGTCACATTTGTTACATTCTTTTCCACATCTAAAACACGGAAGAATCGATTTCTCACATTAATTCCATTGATGATCATGTCTCTTTTCTTATCTTTGCTGGACAAAGTTACAATGCATTCAGAGTTTGCTGTTGTCAGCTGTATACACTTCACACATCCCCTACCTAGGACCTCTTCAATGCCTGCTAGTACTTCTTCATGGGTTATTCTATATAAATTCCTAGTGTAGAAATGTACACTGAATTCTCTGGAAACCCCTTGATTACTCATCCCCTCCTTCTCTCCTTAGGATAAGTGGCACTAATATTCAAGGTTTGCCAAAAATCAACCAGAAATTTTAGTGAAAAAAACACTAAAATTTGTATGAATTGTCTCTGCTGATTTTTTCCCTGTCTAGTGCCAACCAAGGGCAATAACCTACCTTACGATTTGTAATATTAATTGTAACATCAGTAAGCTTAGTGCCTTGTTTCTTCCACATTAATTGTTGCAAGAACTTTGATAGGATTAAAAGACTGGTCTGATTTGTTTAAGTTGAATCATTGTTTATTTCAATTGTTTATTTTCAAGCCATGCTAGGACAGTTCAGAATTGTCTCCGTGTTATAAACATCTTTATTTCATGGTGATTGTCAATAATTTCGGAAAAGTACATCATAGTCTGACCCTCCTACTAATGTTATAACTATTATTTTTTTGCTAGGAACGAGTTACATCGAGTAATACCATGGATTGTATAGAATGTAGAAAGGTTGGTATTGAAGACTATGATTCTGTTATGGCTATCCGGACGGACGTCTATGATGGGCTGGACTACCTACCTGCCCTATACCGGACAATCATGACCAATCACACTGGGTATGCCGTATTCGTGAATGAGATTATGGTTAGTAATGCATAGCAACAATTAATCAGTCAATCAGGCGCATGTATGACAAAACTTCTGATAAAATACTACATCAGTCTGATTTTAACATGGAACCCGTGGAAAATTTTAGTTAATTCCCATTGGGAAGATCCAGATCCAGCTTTTGATTTTTCCAAACTTTCTACAATTTGGCACTGTAAGATTTTCACATCAAACAAGCATCAGTTTATGCTACGATTTATATATACTTTTTAGCGATCTATTATTGTTTTCTTTATAGGTAGGGTTTGAATGCGTTTCTCTCATTGATGATGGAGAAACATTAATAGCACGTGCAGCACGCATCCGTAAAGAATACGTAGGTAGAGGGTTGGCCTATCATCTGAGAAACGCCATTACACGGGACAATGCAAATAAACCTAAGCTTATACGTTCGGTGTACACATCTGGAAACAAGACTCTCTTACAGAGAGTAGAGGAAGGAAGAGCTGAACTTGTATTACAGAAGGTGTGTTATTTAATTTAATGAAATAATCACATATGAAAAAATCATATCAAATATACATGTGTCAAGAAGAGAGCTTACAAAATTTCCGCCATTCTCATTTGCTCCAGTAAAACTAAAAATTGATTATCCCTGAGAAAAGTAATTGATTCCGTTGTTTCAAACAAATAAGCAACAGTTTTAATTCTTTTCAATTCGTATAGGCGATCCTGTTCTACAAAGGACTAATGTCAAATATCCTCCCTTCCCTGCCTACCGTTGATAACACCATAGTCAGGATCCTAACCAAGGAAGACCTAAAGAAATTGCTGTCATCCAAAACAGACACGGACAAACTGTTCCCACAAAGAAGAATAATAGTTGACTGGGTACCGTATCGTCTGTTGGCAACTAACGTTGATCACTTCTTCAACGAATTTTGTCACATTTTGGGCAGTGATTTGAAAGACGGCAAGTCAGAAGGGTTAGAATGCATTTCACTGGCTGTTGGGTACAGCGTACCTAATGGAATTCGATACAACGTTGAACTCTACGGCAACTTCACCGAAGAAATCCTGTCAATTCACATGGCGGAGCATCTCGGGAAGTGCTCAACATTTGGAAAAGAGAACATCAATTTATTGTTACATTATGAACATGGCACACATGATGCAGATGTTCTAACACAAACGATGCATCAATTCGGAATGAATGTATCCAACAACTTTCACTCAAAAGTGATGTATGGAATGGAAGAGCCTATGGTTCCACTATCGAAATATTGACTGACTTGCTATCCTTGACACATGTTTAATTAGATTATGTAATATATACATTCATTGTTCATTCAGCCGATGTCATATCCTTAAATTTGCTGAGGTCATTGTTATATGTATCAGGGTGATATAAAGTTATTACCACACGGTGTTACCAAATATACTTAGAACTCATATAAAAAATCAATGACATTTAAACTGAAACTGAATGAAAATCAATCCTCGTGTTTAGAGGCTAATATAGAAATGAACAGATTAAGAAAATTGATAAAAAGTGACTGTGTCCATCATTAACTGAAATATTGTTGGCACAGTCTTACTGCATGCATCATTTAACATGAAATAACTTGCATTCTGTTAGGAGGAAGGCATGGTCGAAAATGTTTACTACGCAGAAAATATAAAATTTCATCATCATTCTTCTATATCATATTTGCGTTATAATGTCACAAACTGTTAATATATTTAGGATGAGTTTACATTTCATTTTGGATTTTTTGAAACGAGTGTTAGCATCTATTTTTGTGAATGCAAAGATTAAAACTTAAAAATCTCATATGAAATAAAAATAAAGTTGATACTCTTTTCGTCACATAATTCAGAAAAATAGGAAGACAAAATCAAACGGAGCCTTTATTATGACTATATTAGAATTTTGAATAGCGCGCCCAATGAAAAATGTGCTATGGTTTAATACGCTAGTGACATAAACACAAAGAATTCACTGAAAAATATGCGGATTATGTGATTAAAAGAAAAAAATCGACAATATACCGGTCATAAAAGGTTAAAGCATTATAAGATTTTGTCAAAGCATGAAGTAAGTCAGACACTGGAATATTTCATTGTAATCTTTTCCTTCAACAATCTTGTGATTATTCCTGAACCAGAATTAATGGACTACGACATGAAAGGCGTGGGATATTGGAGGCGCCGCCTATATTGGTAACAGTATTTTTTAATGCACTCGATGTATCTCCTCTGTCGACACCATGCACAAATATAATCAAGGGGACAACTGTGACATGTGACAACTGTGGCCGGGATCCCACTGAAACACACAAAAATATCTGGGATCAGTATATCTCGGTATATTATTATAAATCACAATGTGACCCGTATCGCTCGACTGGATTGGTTCGGCTGAAACTACTTTATTGGTACTGAGGGATAAGAAATTTATAAAATATCTATTTCATTTACATGATCCTGCCCCTCAAGTTAGGTGACCAATATATACAAAACTGGTTCTCTCTCTGCATTTACAATTCTTGTGATCGAACATAGTAAAAACACTTTTATCCCAACATTGAAAGCATGATTTCAAAGCGCACCCACCCCTTTGCCAAAATGGGGGTCAAACCCACTATTTATACAAAATTGAGTTATCGTTACCTTCGGTCAATTGGGGAACAAACAAGACCACCGTTTGTTCAAAGTTGGTTCCATTTCGCCTAAAAATTATCCAAACCAGATTTGGTTCAAGCCCATCTGTCCTAAGTAAGGGGTGATTATTCCCCTTCGTACAAAAAATGCTTCGGACCAGGACCAATCCACGAATTCCCATCAATCGTTTAGAAGTAATTCAAAGTTTTTTTCATTAATTTCTTCTCATCCCCTACACACTTTTCGTTCGGCCCACACCCAATGATGCTTCTGACGAAATTGGTCAAAATCATGTCTAGCATCAATTTTGAAGAAAAAAAATAAAATGAACGACAAAAGGATAATGGACGTCCCGTTGGAATACACGAGACGAAATTAAAGCTTGACAAAGCAAAACAGAGAATTATTTTTTAAATGAAAGTTATATGTAAGCTATCATTACATTATTCCTGTATATTTGCTTAAATGATTTAGACCATGAAAATACGTTATCAGAACAGTTATATTGTGAAGTATTAAGTAATAAATAAATAACTCTCTCTAGGTAGCGGCAGATAACTCTCTCTGGGTAGAGAGAGTTATCTGCCGCTACCCAAGGCAAGTCGTGGAATTTTGCTCCGAGAAAATTTGTGAAATATCAACGATTACGCCTGAGTAATGTAGGTAATTTTTGCATAATTGAATTGTTAACTGCTTTAGTATCAAATTTGTGTAATCAAATTAACGGTAGTATTCCTAACTGAGTAGATATGTATTCCAATACAACTGATGTAAACAAGATATTGTCTGCACTGAGCGACATATTGACCCAAACCGGGCATGTGCAGGTAAGCGGACAATCACCGGAGCGTGACAACACTGCTCACACTGCTCGAGCGGGTACCTGGGAAGAGGTTATGAATGGTAAGTTCACGAAAGGTCAATTCCGATACAATACCGAATGAAATAATGCAGTCAAATGAAATACAATATCCGTATGGCTATGGTTCAGCAAAACCTGTTTCTAAAAGAGTCTGATGTTTTGGCTACAATGCTGTCAATAAATAATGGCTTAACCATATAGAGGTGTACAGGAGTTTGGGAAATGTGATTAGAGCTGAAATACGCTGGTATTGAACGTACTGGGAACGTGTGGAGGATATATCCCGACAAGGCTGACGATCGCGTTACACTCCTCAGTAGGGGTGTGACCGTTAGGGGTAAACACGTATTCCTGGTACCTGAAAATCCAAAGCAACCGAAACATGACCCTGATTATACAACTAGGATAAAAGTATCCAACATTCCGTTGTCGGTAGATGATCGTGTAATAATTGTTACACAGGGGACAGAATAGTTTTTACGAAAAAATCTCGAAAAAGATTTGCCCAAGACAATGCACATGGGAAGGTACTATGGGTCTATTTGGCACTATGGTCATCCGAGGGGACAACACAATGAGCAACAAAATGAAAAAATGTAAAAAGTGCTTTGAAGAAGGTCATGAACAAGCAAAATGTACCAATGACTGGAAATGTCTATATTGTAAAGAATATGGACATAAAAGGCAAGAGTGCACAAAAATACAGAACACGGAACATGCTAGCAGTGGCACGGAAGAGGAAACACAAAACGAAGAAACACAAAACGAAGAAGATTCACAGAACGAAGAAACACCAAATGAGGAAGGAGCAGAGGCAAAGGCGGGTGCAACCAGCACTAGAAGGAAGAGGAAAGTACGAAGGCAAAATGAAAAAGAGGAGGAAATAAAGACAAACAGCAGATTTAAACATTAGACAAATACATCAAGGCGGGAAACCGCGGTTTTGATACTTCGAAAAATCGTCGCAGGAGTCAATCGAAATCGCGAACACCCCCGTCCCCGTCAGACAAAGAAAATAAAAAACACAGACAAGTATGAACCATAAACAAACGTGCAAAATAAAGATATAGTACATATTCTTTCCTTAAATGCCCAAGGACTTAGGGATGAGGAAAGAGATTTCGTCTATAACAATGGATGAAACAACAAAAGTTTGACATTTGTCTGTTACAGGAAACACATTTTACACAAAATATACTAAATCAACTAAATAAGGATGACGGTAGATTGGTCTTATTAGATAATGAAATAGAAAACAAAATTCTAAGTATTGCTAATATTTACGTTTCAAATAATCAAAATGAGAGGAACGGTTTTTTAAAATCCGCGTTGAATGATATAAAAGAAAAAAAGCACTGGAATGATTATTGCTGGAGGCGATTCCAATGAAGTTTTAAAAGGTTATGATAGAAAAAGTACCTCTCAAGCTATAAAAAAAATAAAACTTACGGCCTTAAACAGCTTAAAAATCTTTAAGACTAGAGACATTTGGAGGGAGAAGAATAGACATAAAACACAGTATACGTGGAGACGTAATAGACAAGGAGAATCTAGTAGGATCGACTGCTTTGTAATTGAAAATACAATGAACAATTTAGTAAAATCATCGGACATTAGACCGGCACAAATTAGAAGTACTGATCATCAAGGTATATCTTTAGAATTATTTATGGGTAAAGATAAGGGTCCTGGAATATGGAAGCTAAACAACAGTATACTAGTGGATAAAGAGTATGAAAATCTAATTATTAAATGTATTCAAAATTCAAAACATTACTGTGAAGAGAATAACCGAAGTTGGCGGCAAACATGGGATTACTGCAAACTTATGATAAAAAACGAATCAATCAAATATAGCACATTAAAATCAGAAAAACAAAAATCAGACATATGCTTACTCGAAGAACGTCTGAGAACAGTAATTGAAGAAGGAGGAGAAAAAAAAACACGAAAATTTTTCAAAGTCTTGAAAAGAAAAGACAAACAACAAAAGTAATAAATGAACTTGAAAATGATAACGGAACTTTAATTCAAGATCCCGAAAAAATATTGAAAGAAATAAAAACATTTTATGAAAATTTCTACACGACTATTAAACAGCTAAATAATACCGAATCTAAATCTTGTGGTGGTAAACTAACAGAAAAGGAATGCAAACATGCACTAAATCATATGGGGAAAAAAAACCCGGTACAGATGGATTAACCTTATAATTTTATCAGGCGTGTTTAGAAACTAATAAAGAATTTAGTATTTAATTCATTAAATGAAGCTTATGACCATGGCGAACTTAGCGAATCTCAAAAAATATGGACTAGTTTCTCTGATTTATAAAAAAGGTAATGTTGCTAAATTAGAAAATTGGAGACCGATATCTCCACTAAACATTGATTATAAAATTGCCGCATACTCTTTAGCAGCAAGATTAAAATCAGTTATGCCAAAAATCGTTCACACGGATCAAAACGGATATATTAAAAACAGAATCATTGGCTATAATATTAGACAAATTCAAGACAATTGTCTATTCCGAGAAATTTGATATTGACAGTTGTTTACTATTTTTAGACTTTAAAAAAACTTTTGATACCATAGAATACAATTCTATGTACTCAAGTCTTCAAAAATTTGGTTTCGGAGTTTCGTTTATAAATTGGATAAAAACTTTTTATAATGATATTAAAGGATTTGTAAAAAAAATAATTGGATTACAGAAGAATATTCAATATCCCGTGGAATTAGGCAGGGCTGTCCGTTGTCTTGTTTGATTTTCGTAATAGCAGTAGAGATATTAGCAGCAAGAAGAAGAAACGAAAAGGATATTGACGGTTTTAAGATAAGCGGAAAAAGTTCGAAAATAGCACAATTGACTAATGATACAACTCTGTTCTTGAAACGAAAAGATATAAAACATGCAATTAGCGTTGTCGAAAAGTTTGGGGAATTATCTGGGTTACAATTAAACAAAAATAAGACAGAGGGAATGTGGTTAGGGTGCAAAAAGGGAAGGAACAACACTTAAGAAGGAATCACATTCAAAAAGGAAATCAAATCATTAGGAATATTCTTTGGAACTAATAAAAAGTCTGTAAGAATTTTAACTGGGGAAAGCAAAAACGTTTCAATTGATTAAATGTTGAAGAACTGGAAGAAAAGGAAATTAACTTTAACTGGCAAAACAGTTGTTATACAAACGTTATTGATACCAAAAATAACCTATATAGCAAATATGCAAGCTGTAGATAAAGAAAAG